ACATATTTAACCAATCCAAAGTGAGTAGACTGGAATATGTCCACATATTCAACCCATCCAAAGTGAGCAGACTGGAATATGTCCACATATTCAACCCATCCAAAGTGAGCAGACTGGAATATGTCCACATATTCAACCAATCCAAAGTGAGCAGACTGGAATATGTCCACATATTCAACCCATCCAAAGTGAGCAGACTGGAATATGTCCACATATTTAACCAATCCAAAGTGAGTAGACTGGAATATGTCCACATATTCAACCCATCCAAAGTGAGCAGACTGGAATATGTCCACATATTCAACCCATCCAAAGTGAGCAGACTGGAATATGTCCACATATTCAACCAATCCAAAGTGAGCAGACTGGAATATGTCCACATATTCAACCCATCCAAAGTGAGCAGACTGGAATATGTCCACATATTTAACCAATCCAAAGTGAGTAGACTGGAATATGTCCACATATTCAACCCATCCAAAGTGAGCAGACTGGAATATGCCCACATATTCAACCCATCCAAAGTGAGCAGACTGGAATATGTCCACATATTCAACCAATCCAAAGTGAGTAGACTGGAATATGTCGACATATTCAACCCATCCAAAGTGAGCAGACTGGAATATGTCCACATATTCAACCAATCCAAAGTGAGCAGACTGGAATATGTCCACATATTCAACCCATCCAAAGTGAGCAGACTGGAATATGTCCACATATTCAACCAATCCAAAGTGAGCAGACTGGAATATGTCCACATATTCAACCCATCCAAAGTGAGCAGACTGGAATATGTCCACATATTTAACCAATCCAAAGTGAAACGACTGGAATATGTCCACATATTTAACCAATCCAAAGTGAACAGACTGGAATGTTTCCACATATTTAATCAATCCAAAGTGAGCAGACTGGAATATGTCCACATATTCAACCCATCCAAAGTGAGCAGACTGGAATGTTTCCACATATTTAACCAATCCAAAGTGAACAGACTGGAATGTTTCCACATATTTAACCAATCCAAAGTGAGCAGACTGGAATGTTTCCACATATTTAACCAATCCAAAGTGAACAGACTGGAATGTTTCCACATATTTAACCAATCCAAAGTGAAGAGACTGGAATGTTTCCACATATTTAACCAATCCAAAGTGAACAGACTGGAATATATCCACATATTTAACCAATCCAAAGTGAACAGACTGGAATATATCCACATATTCAACCAATCCAAAGTGAACAGACTGGAATATGTCCACATATTTAACCAATCCAAAGTGAACAGACTGGAATATATCCACATATTTAACCAATCCAAAGTGAACAGACTGGAATATGTCCACATATTTAACCAATCCAAAGTGAACAGACTGGAATATATCCACATATTTAACCAATCCAAAGTGAACAGACTGGAATATGTCCACATATTTAACCAATCCAAAGTGAACAGACTGGAATATTTCCACATATTTAACCAATCCAAAGTGAACAGACTGGAATATATCCACATATTTAACCAATCCAAAGTGAACAGACTGGAATATATCCACATATTTAACCAATCCAAAGTGAACAGACTGGAATGTTTCCACATATTTAACCAATCCAAAGTGAACATTGATTTTGATCAAGTGATTGACAGGTTTGAAGTTTTAAATAAAGTAAATTTAATGTAACTATAACTATGACTTAACGCTGTTCTTAAATACATTTACATACACACAAGCATGCTATGAGTTTGTCTATTATGATTATGATATTCTCTAGCAACTATAGTTTCTATAGTCTTATATAGCCATGGCCACGAGGCATATGGCATTAATAATGGGTTATAAAAAAGAGGAAAATTCGTACAGTTTTAGCAGTTGGGTTTATGTCATGTGTACTGGTCAGTCATGAGTTGTAACCAGTACAGTACTGTGTTTATTGACATGTGTTCTGGTCAGTCATGAGTTGTAACCAGTACAGTACTGTGTTTATTGACATGTGTTCTGGTCAGTCATGAGTTGTAACCAGTACAGTACTGTGTTTATTGACATGTGTTCTGGTCAGTCATGAGTTTTAACCAGTACATTACTGTGTTTATTGACATGTGTTCTGGTCAGTCATGAGTTGTAACCAGTACAGTACTGTGTTTATTGGCATGTGTTCAGCTTAGTCATTAGTTGTAACCAGTACAGTACTGTGTTTTTGGCATACGTTCTCGTTAGTCATGAGTTATAACCAGAACAGTACTGTGTTTATTGGCATGTGTTCAGCTTAGTCATTAGTTGTAAGCAGTACAGTACTGTGTTTTTGGCATACGTTCTCGTTAGTCATGAGTTATAACCAGTACAGTACTGTGTTTATTGACATGTTTTCTGCTTAGTCATGAGTTGTAACCAGTACAGTACTGTGTTTATTGACATGTGTTCTGCTTAGTCATGAGTTGTAACCAGTACAGTTAAAGACCACAAATCATATCAAACGATCACTTTAACAAAAGATCGAGTACATTATTTGAATTGACCCTTTGCTAAATTTCAAAAGTTCTCTACTAAATTTATTCCGCTCATAACCTCCTACGCTGGAGAAAGTCCACCTGGTGTGGTCATCATCATTCTCCCAGTCTTCAGTGCTTTGTTTTGGGGAACGATAAAACAGTGCAAGTGAAACTATGCTTTTAAATCAGAAACATGGTCATTCTATGTTCTGTGAAGCCTAGATACTGTTTTAATAGAAGTTTAGTGTGGAAAAAAGAATAAACTTGTGTTTTTGTTAGACAATGATGGTTGGAGAATCCGTACCAACCAAGAGGTATACCAAGTGTACAAATCCCAACCCAGAGTCGCAACAATATACAAAAAAGTCATACTGTGCTGGACAGAGCACATTGACTTGAGAGGATGCCGGGTAGTAGAGCAGCAAAAGTGATCTACAGGCAGAAACCTACGGGCAGACGGCTCACCGGTCGACCATGACTGAGTTGGATCGACGATGTAGAGAAGGACTTATACCAGTCGTGTGCTCGCCCATGGATGCGGAAAGCCATGGATCCGAATGGAAGGATGTGCTGGAGCAGGCCGGGGCCCTACATGGGCTGTAGTGGTGGAGCAGGTCAGAGCCTTAAATGGGTTATAGTGCCACTGATGTCGATATTTCATAGAATTGATCCAAATGTCTTTAAAAGGGAACACGAAATAATAATGTCTAAACTCTGCCATTCCAGGAGTCAGTCGCGGAGGTGCAGACAAGTAACAAAGACATGGTCTCAAGACTAGGAAATTTCTGATGAAGCTTCAAATTCAAATGTAAATATTCGTATCACATCTATAGCAGACACAATAATCAGACAACTGTGAGACTTCGCTTGGCAGCAATATCTCCTTGACCAGTGTGTCGACTCTATCTCCTTGATTAGTGTGTCCACTATATTTTGCTTGATTAGTATTTCCACTAAAGTTTCTTGGATAGTGTCCACTATATGTTGTTTTATTAGTATGTCCGCTATATGTGCTTGATTAGTATCTCTGCTATGTTAGTGATTAGGATAATTTAATTTTCATTTGCAGTTTCACCAGAATGTCATAATTAAATTGATTTTGATATTTTCCCCACCATTTTTTTGTTTATTTAACCTTTGTAAGTGATCATTTAGTAGGATTTGTCATCGCCATATTTAGTTTTCTGGAATCTGAATGTCTTCATTAAATACATTTCGGAAAAGGTATATCAAGGAACAACTAGACTTGAGGTACAGTTACCTTAAACTGGATCTCAGGGCTTGTTAACATTAGGGTAGTAGTGGACTAACTATCGTAAGCTTCACCGTGACTATTTCGCAATTTCATTATTAATTTAAAAGACTTTTTTGCTAACCATTCACAATCTGAACATTTTAGGTAATTGTTGACCCAGGTCAAGGACGACTTGAATGTGTTAGCTGGCAGTAGGTCGTCGACCATTGCCACAGAAAAGTCACATGAAGACGAAACTATAGTTAGACGTGACATCATATCAAAATGAGGTCTACTTATATCAATGTGTGGACCGCTCATATCAATATGTGGACCACTCATATCAATATGTGGCCCACTCATATCAATATGTGGACCACTCATATCAATATGTGGACCACTCATATCAATATGTGGCCCACTCATATCAATATGTGGACCACTCATATCAATATGTGGACCACTCATATCAATATGTGGCCCACTCATATCAATATGTGGACCACTCATATCAATATGTGGCCCACTCATATCAATATGTGGACCACTCATATCAATATGTGGACCACTCATAGCAATATGTGGACCACTGATATCAATATATGTGGACCACTCATATCCACCAAATTCTTGGCCTAATTTCTGGTTAAATCGTTAAAGTATTCCACAGATCCGTTGCCTGGACCCAAAGTTGTGTTATGGAAAAAAATTAAACTGTAAAAAGAAAAAAAATGCAAAAAAAAACAGCAACAACAAATGTGTGTGTGTGTGGGGACAAAACTAAAAACTGGCAAGGGATCTGCAAAAGTCATGTGACTTCTCTGATACAGATGTTATATGTTTCCCGGGCCCCACACCTTGCACTTGCAATCATCCATGATGAAGAAAAACTCAGCCGAACCAGAAAGAAAAAAAAACTCAGCCAAACCAGAAAGAAAGAAAAACTCAGCCAAGACAAAAAGAAAGAAAAACTCAGCCAAGACAGAAAGAAAGAAAAAAAACTAAGCGACAACACACTGTAACAGCGGCGCCTTGTTCATTGATTATGCTGAAATCGAAAGCGTTGTCTTAATGATCGAACATGTCTTCATTCTCAGGAATCTTCTCTTTCATAAGGGAGAAAACTATTAAATAAACTTGCAGCCCCACGTTACTCTATGAATAATATCTGGGTTGCACCGCTTGTGTCACCTGGGACGAGACAGTCGATTCGGCGGGTACTGACTGACACAAGCCAGGCAGACACACGGAAGCTAAAGGTCACCACACACTGGATGTGACACGGGTGACACGAACTGGTAGCAGTTATGGGCGGCGACCGCTAACTGGAGAGAGAAGGGGGGATGTTTTACTAGCCTACTGACCAGGATTATCTTCTGTTGCTGAACGTGAGTGAATCTTGTCATGGTTAGTTTGCCAACTGTTACTATCGTATGCAGTTTAGATAATGTGATATAGTTTTCACACAAAAGAATGAATGTCATTTTAGAAACCAACCCGACCATGCACATTTAAGTCAGCTTGAGTGTGTACAGGATTGTGTACACACTAACACAGGCAAGAGGTCTCCTCACAGTTTGAACATGGGTGGTTTAGGTTAATACTCGAATGCATCGCTGGGTCACGGGGTCTCATTTTAAACAGAAGTGAAGTTTGTATTTGAAGGATGGCCTCATTCCGTCTTGACCAGTGGATCGGTTGGCTTGGCCTTTTAGGTTCATTCTTGGTGAAGTAGCGATTGCCATCAGCTGCTCTTCAATTATCATCATTACGCAACAACAACCTTTCAACAATTAAACTACGGCACTGTCAAAATAGTAAATGCTGTCAAGACAGTAAATGCTGTCAAGACAGTAAATGCTGTCAAGACAGTAATTGCTGTCAAGACAGTAAATGCTGTCAAGACAGAAAATGCTGTCAAGATAGTAAATGGTGTCCGTTTTTTTTAAATACTTTTTATAGAGTTAATGTTTGGTGAGCTTCAGCGTTCAAATTTTCCTTTCGTTCCACAAATAATCGTTTTTTGTTGTTTTTTTTTTAAATCAGAAATTTTTTAAAATACACATTTGTACAAAAGCAAGTGGGTAGTCTTTAACATATAGCACAAAGACTTCAAATTAAAAGTATATTAAACCCATCTATATGACGTACATAACATCTATGGGAGTATATAACATCTATGGGCAGCAAGGTCGTCCTGGGTCTCGTTTGTATGTGGTTGTACATATATAATAGAGCATTATCCTTTGTATGTGATCGTATATATATAGTAGTACATTATCCTTTGTATGTGGTCCTACATAAATAGTAGAGCATAATTCTTTGTACGTATTCGTACATATATAGTAGAACATTATCCTTTGTATGTGGTCGTACATATATATAGTAGAACATTATCCTTTGTATGTGGTGGTACATATATATAGTAGAACATTATCCTTTGTATGTGGTGGTACATATATATAGTAGAACATTATCCTTTGTATGTGGTGGTACATATATATATAGTAGAACATTATCCTTTGTATGTGGTGGTACATATATATAGTAGAACATTATCCTTTGTATGTGGTGGTACATATATATAGTAGAACATTATCCTTTGTATGTGGTGGTACATATATATAGTAGAACATTATCTTTTGTATGTGGTGGTACATATATATAGTCGAACATTATCCTTTGTATGTGGTGGTACATATATATAGAAGAACATTATCTTTTGTATGTGGTGGTACATATATATAGTAGAACATTATCTTTTGTATGTGGTGGTACATATATATAGTAGAACATTATCTTTTGTATGTGTGGTGGTACATATATATAGTAGAACATTATCTTTTGTATGTGGTGGTACATATATAGTGTCACCTTCTCCCTTCGTCTAGATGTTGGTGGGTTGGAGGGGCGAGGGCGTCGCAGTTCATAATTGACGTTCTGTTCGGGGGAGGGGGGGGGGAGGAGGGGGGGGCTGTCTCTATTTTGGGACAATGTATTATGAGAGTGTCTTAATGACGTGACAAGTTTGTGACTGTTTGGTATGGGGTCCAAAATTTACCAGAATTAGCGTTATGTCATTTATTAATGGCCTCCTGGACAAAAGCTGTGTTAAGTTGTATATAGAGATGAAATCATATGTTTCTGTGTTAAGTTGTATATAGAGATAAGTTGTATATAGAGATGAAATCATATGTTTCTGTGTTAAGTTGTATATAGAGATGGAATCATATTTTTTTCTGTTTCAAGTTGTGTCAAGAGATGGAATCACATGTTTGTATGTTAAGTTGTATATAGAGATGAAATCATATGTTTCTGTGTTAAGTTGTATATAGAGATGGAATAATATGTTTCTGTGTTAAGATGTATATAGAGATGGAATCATATGTTTCTGTGTTAAGTTGTATATAGAGATGGAATCATATGTTTCTGTGTTAAATTATATATAGAGATGGAATCATATGTTTCTGTGTTAAGTTGTACCTAAAGATGGAATCATATTTTTCTTAAGTTGTATCCAGAGATGGAATCATATGTTTCTGTGTTAAGTTGTGTTTAGAGACGAAATCACATGTTTCTGTGTTAAGTTGTATCTGGAGATGGAATCATATGTTTCTGTGTTAAGTTGTGTATAGAAATGGAATCATATGTTTCTGTGTTAAGTTGTGTCTAGAGATGGAATCATATGTTTGTGTGTTAATTTGTATCTAGATATGAAATCATATGTTTCTGTGTTAAATTATGTCTTGACACGGAATCATATGTTTCTGTGTTATTTTGTATCTAGAGACGGAATCATATGTTTCTGTGTTAAGTTGTATATAGAGATGGAATCATATGTTTCTGTGTTAATTTGTATCTAGAGGTGGAATCATATTTTTCTGTGTTAAGTTGTATCTAGAGATGGAATCATGTTTCTGTGTTAAGTTTTATTTAGAGATGGAATCATATGTTTCTGTGTTAAGTTTTATCTAGAGATGGAATCATATGTTTCTGTATTAAGTTGTATCTGGAGATGGAATCATATGTTTCTGTGTTAAGTTGTATATAGAGATGGAATCATATGTTTCTGTGTTAATTTGTATCTAGAGGTGGAATCATATTTTTCTGTGTTAAGTTGTATCTAGAGATGGAATCATGTTTCTGTGTTAAGTTTTATTTAGAGATGGAATCATATGTTTCTGTGTTAAGTTTTATCTAGAGATGGAATCATATGTTTCTGTATTAAGTTGTATCTGGAGATGGAATCATATGTTTTTGTGTTAAGTTGTGTATAGAGAGAAAATCATATGTTTATACATTAAGTTGTGTATTGAGATGGAATCATACGTTTCTGCATTAAGTTGTATCTAGAGACGGAATCATATGTTTCTATGTTAAGTTGTATCTAGAGACAGAATCAAATTTTTCTGTGTTAAGTTTATCTAGAGATGGAATCATATATTTATGTGTCAAGTTGTATCTGGAGATGGAATCATATGTTTATGTGTTAAGTTATATCTAGAGATGGAATCATATTTTTCTGTGTCAATTTGTATCTTGAGATGGAATCATATGTTTCTGTTTTAAGTTGTATATAGAGATGGAATCATATGTTTCTGTGTTAAGTTGTATATAGAGATGGAATCATTTGTTTCTGTTTTAGTTGTGTCTATAGACGGAATCACATGCTTCTGTGTTAAGTTTTATTTAGGGGTGGAATTTTTCTATTTTTAAAATCGTATATTGTCCAACTGTTTATTTCCCGGCTTAAATTCGCTACCAAATAACCACTGGTTCATCCATCTGACTCATCCATCTGAATATCTAATTGACACAATCCATTCCATGACGTCTACCTTCGGTCCTGATTGCCCACCAACGGGTGTAACCTCAGATTGCACACCAACGGGTGTAACCTCAGATTGCACACCGACGGGTGTAACCTCAGATTGCACACCAACGGGTGTAACCTCAGATTGCACACCAACGGGTGTAACTCCAGATGTTAAGCGCTCTGGTCAGGTGGAGAAATGGATCGAGATATTGCAGGTTCTTGTATAAACATGGTTGTTGAATTACCACGTGACACAATGTCTTATGTCATGTATTAGTTTGTTTTTTTTAAATTTATATGTTATTCCTTTACAACATAATACATCTGTGTCCATCTGATAGAAGTAAATCGAAACACATACCATTTGCCCGTGTCTGTCCGACATGCTCTTCACGGCCGTTTCGTTGCACTAAATGATACGAGTTTCCAAGTAATTCTGAATTCCACTATAACATTAACAGGCTTGTATTTTCTTATTTTTTGGGGGGAGGTATGAGGGTGGGGGCTGGGGGAGGATTATGTACGTATTTCATATACTCAATGCAGTGGCGTAGCAATGGGGGCATGAAGGGGGCTGTCCGCCTTGTGGGACACTTTTTTTTCTTTTGATGGAAGGATGGCATTTTCAGCGAAATTATGAATTTTCTTCGTAGAAGTGGGGTGGCAAACATTGGGCCTGACCTTGGTGGCAAAAACTGGGCCTGCCCCTGGTGGCAAACACTGGACCTGTCCCTGGTGGCAAACACTAGGCCTACCCTTGGTGGCAAACACTGGGCCTGACCCTGGTTGCAAACACTGGGCTCGCTCCTGGTGGCAAACACTGGGCCTGACCCGGGTGGCAAACACTGGGCCTGACCCTGGTGGCAAACACTGGGCTGCCCTAGGTGGCAAACACTGGGCCTGACGCGGGTGGCAAACACTGGGCCTGCCCCGGGTGGCAAACACTTGACCTTCCCCTGGTGACAAACACTGGGCCTAAACTTGGTGGCAAACACTGGGCCTGACCTTGGTGGCAAACACTGGGCCTGACCCTGGTGGCAAACACTGGGCCTGCCCCTGGTGGCAAACACTGGGCCTGACCCTGGTGGCAAACACTGGGCCTGCCCCTGGTGACAAACACTGGGCCTGACCCGGGTGGTAATAACCCTAGCTACGCCACTGACTGAATTTATTTGGTCCGGATCCTTCATATATATCATCTACGGGAGTAACCTCTCAATCCAACAGTTCTTTTCCTACATCAACCCAAGTGTGCCCCCCCCCCTCTTTTTCTCGGTGCGTACCATTGGTGTGGCAAGACGCGTGCCAGGGGCGGAACTTGGAGTGTGGCGCAAATCGGTGAGCCGACACAAAAGTCGAAAAAAAAAGAATTAAAATAACAAAAACTCTTCGGTAATGAGAGAAAAAAAATAGGACTATTTATGTTAATCATGATTTGATTCTTTGTTGCTTAATCCTAAAATAGGTTTCTCATCTTGATAGGGTCGTAGGTTTAGTTTTTGTCGTAGATACCAATGCTCTCTGGAGATGCCATTTCTCCTCTGTGGATGCGATTTGTCCTCTGTGGATGCCAGAGTTTTCGCATTCTTAAAATAAAAGTTCATCTTCGCGTAAACACGATCACGTCATATCAGAATTTACTTTTTAGCGGGGCGCATTTGTGTAAAGACTGTCAAGTTATAAGTTTGTATTACAGTTGTGTATATTTGGGGCCTCTGAATACTACGTGACCTGGGTCAAATATTAACAACGATCTTCTGTTTACGTGGATGGTTTAACAATGAGATTTTCTATTTAAATGGGTGATTACACAATAAGAAAGCATTGTAAAACTCTAATAACTGGCTTTTTTATTTGTTTATCAAATTCCAAAGAGAATTGTAGAAATTAGAACTCAAGATGGAATGCTTAATGAGGAAAAAACACATATCATGACCTGTTCTGAAATCCCGGTAGTTGAACCCCCTGAGATGCCACATCGTACCCCATGTTGGGAATCCCTGCTTTCATGCCTTTCTGCTTCTTATGAAACATGATGTAATATAACACAACGCTTGATCATTATAGTATATGTGTATTGAATCCATGGGGTGTGTTGAGATTCACCATCTATCCATGTATCCTCGTGTGGCCCTACGGTGGTTTGAGATGCTGTGTTATATAGAGTGCCCTACCCAGCCCTTACCAGCACAGGCTCTCAGCCACTCAGACTATTTTGAGTCGTTACACCATTTATAGATGCAAATTTATTTGTCACAGAGGTGTGTATAAGCTGTGACTATCCACTCTCATAGAGATGTGCATAAGCTGTGACTATCCACTCTCCTAGAGGTGTGTAGAAGCCAATGGAAGTATTAGGATATTATTCCAACAGTAAAAAGCCGATTTGCGATGAGAATTGATTTAAAATCATTATTTTTTAAGTATACTATTCCAACCGGCGACTCCACAGAAAACCTTTCCCGGCTCAAAAGGTTGGGAACTAAGGAACTCGGGCCATCAAAAGAAGTATATGTACAGACATATATATATATATATATATATATATATATATATATATATATATATATATATATTTGTTTTTTTGTTTTTTTATGTATATAAAAATATATATATATATATATATATATATATGGTTGTTTTGTTGTTTTTATGAGTATACAAAACATCAAAACATGTGTTAGTTATATACGTAAACAATGGATTGTTAAGTGTGGAGACAACGCAATTGCAGTTAGAAATTAACGCAAAACGCCTTCCTTTATTTTCCTGGTAACATCGGGTCATATCTTCTAGTATAAAAGAAGAGTCATCGGAGGTAATGCAAAAACCAAGCCCACTTTTCAAGTCCGCCAACTCTCCCATAATTGATGCTAGGTAAACAAGGGGAAATCATCCACGGGGCGTTGACTAAAAGAAATATTTGTAATTGGACCAGCGTTCTGACAGCTTGTTGTACACGTGATATATAATCAAACAGCCGGGCCCGGTAACAACATCACACGGGTGCTCACCCTTTAATAAAACCGTGCAGCAAGAGTTGCGTTTCTATTCCTTTTAATTAATTTGATCATGTTTTCAGTTCCCTCCCATAAAATCATGGTACATAATTCAATGGAGACACTGAAGCACACACTGGTGAAATTTACTCACATAATTTGTCAGTAAAAATACTAGTAGTATTGTAGTGTTGACCCGGGAGGGGGAGGGGTGGGTTAAGTAATTAATACTTTGGAAGTGTGAGTGGGGCTCTTTTTGGGTCTGTGAGAGAGGCTCTTTGAGGGGGGGGGTTGAGAGGGGCTCTTTTGGGGGTGTGAGAAAGGCTCTGGGGGTTAGAATTATTTTGGGGGAGTGAGAGGCTCTTTTGGGGGTATGAGAAAGGCTCTGGGGTGAGAATTCTTTTGGGGGTGTGAGAAAGTCTCTGTGGGATTAGAATTCTTTTGTGGGTGTGAGAAAGGCTCTGTGGGTTAGAATTCTTTTGTGGGTGTGAGAAAGGATCTGTGGGATTAGAATTCTTTTGTGAGTGTGAGAAAGGCTCTATGCGGTTAGAATTCTTTTGTGGGTGTGAGAAAGGCTCTGTGGGTTAGAATTCTTTTGTGGGTGTGAGAAAGGCTCTGGGTGTGAGAATTCTTTTGGGGATGTGAGAAAGGCTCTGGGGGTTATCATTCTTTTCGGGGTGTGAGAAAGACTCTTGGGGGTAAGAATTATTTTGGGGTGTGAGAAAGGCTCTGGGGTGAGAATTCTTTTGCGGGTGTGAGAAACGCTCTTTTTGGGTATTAGAGAGGTTCTTTTTGTGTAAATCTTTCCTATTATTTTTACCCAACATCCAGTTTTTTTTTTATAAAAAGACGGCACTTCTCTATATTCAATGTATTGTACAAGGTACAAATCATGTGTAAATTTGTTTTGCACAAGTTATAAATTATGTGTACAAGGTACAAATTGTGTGTACATCAGTATTGTACATGGCATAAACCATGTGTACATAAGTATGGTACAATGCAAAAATCATCTGTACATTAGTATTGTACCAGGTGCAAATGGCATTCTCATCAGTGTTGTTTTATTGTATGACATCCTCACCAGTGTTGTTTTATTGTATGACATTCTCACCAGTGTTGTTCTATTGTATTACATTCTCACCAGTGTTGTTTTATTGTATGACTTTCTCACCAGTGTTGTTCTATTGTATTACATCCTCACCAGTGTTGTTCTATTGTATTACATTCTCACCAGTGTTGTTCTATTGTATTACATTCTCACCAGTGTTGTTTTATTGTATGACATTCTCACCAGTGTTGCTCCATTGTATTACATTCTCATCATTGTTATTTTATTGTATGACATTCTCACCAGTATTGTTTTATTGTATGACATTCTCATCATTGTTATTTTATTATATGAAATTTTCACCAGTCTTGTTTTATTGTATGACATTCTCACCAGTGTTGTTTTATTGTATGACATTCTCACCAGTGTTGTTTTATTGTATGACATTCTCACCAGTATTGTTTTATTTTATGACATTCTCATCATTTTTATTTTATTGTATGACATTCTCACCAGTGTTGTTTTATTGTATGACATCCTCACCAGTGTTGTTTTCTTGTATGACATTCTCACCAGTGTTTTTCTATTGTATTACATTCTCACCAGTGTTGTTTTATCGTATGACATTCTCACCAGTGTTGTTCTATTGTATTACATCCTCACCAGTGTTGTTCTATTGTATTACATTCTCACCAGTGTTGTTTCATTGTATGACATTCTCACCAGTGTTGTTCTATTGTATTACATTCTCACCAGTGTTGTTTTATTGTATGACATTCTCACCAGTGTTGTTCTATTGTATTACATTCTCATCATTGTTGTTTTATTGTATGACATTCTCATCATTGTTGTTTTATTGTATGACATTCTCATCATTGTTGTTTTATTGTATGACATTCTCATCATTGTTGAATGTCTCCTCATTACGACCGAACAAGTCAGCAAGCATGAATCACAAACGCTGATATTTCACGTCTTTTTCTTTCCCCATTTTAAACACTTTTGTACAAATATTTTAGCTTCACACAGTTTTCCTATTTTCTATTACGGGTAAGTGGTTTTTTATTAAGTTTTTAAGGACTGCGCGTATATTCATGGCAACTGCTTGGTGGTCTCCTATGCATAGGTCATCCCATCCACTGCTTGGTGGCGTCCTATGTATAGGTCATCCCATCCACTGCTTGGTGGTCTCCTATGCATAGGTCATCCCATCCACTGCTTGGTGGCCTCCTATGTATAGGTTATCCCATCCACTGCTTGGTGGTCTCCTATGTATAGGTCATCCCATCCACTGCTTGGTGGCCTCCTATGTATAGGTCATCCCATCCACGGCTTGGTGGTCTCCTATGCATAGGTCATCCCATCCACTGCTTGGTGGCCTCCTATGTATAGGTCATCCCATCCACTGCTTGGTGGTCTCCTATGTATAGGTCATCCCATCCACTGCTTGGTGGTCTCCTATGCATAGGTCATCCCATCCACTGCTTGGTGGCCTCCTATGTATAGGTCATCCCATCCACTGCTTGGTGGCCTCCTATGTATAGGTCATCCCATCCACTGCTTGGTGGTCTCCTATGTATAGGTCATCCCATCCACTGCATGGTGGCCTCCTATGTATAGGTCATCCCATCCACTGCTTGGTGGTCTCCTATGTATAGGTCATCCCATCCACTGCTTGGTGGTCTCCCATGCATAGGTCATCCCATCCCCTGTTGCATGTTCTCCTATGTACAGGTCATCCCATCCCCTGTTGGGTGGTCTCCTATGCATAAATTACCCCCTTCTCTACCCCCAAAAAAAATTCAAAATTCAACATCTTCTTTGACATAGATCTGACACGATTTAACATAAAAGAGACAAGTTGATATTTAGACGATGCTTTTTATGTGAAATCTCTAGTGCAGCGGTTCTCAAAATGTGGGTCGCCACCCCTTTAGAGGTCGAACGACCCTTGCACAGAGGTCGCCTAAGACCATCGGAAAACACATATATTAATGAAGTAGCAGCGAAAATAATTTTATGGTTTGGGGTCACCACAACATGAGGAACTTTTTAAAGGGTTGCGGAATTAGGAAAGTTGAGAACCACTGCTCTAGAGTACAAAAAAAGTGGGGGGGGGGGGTTGCGCAGACATCCTCCCTTTGTAATTAATCATGCGAAGCCATTGAACATACTGTTAAATAAATGCTGCAACATTCCATCTAATTTAGTTCCAGCTCGCATCTCTTCCAACTTCCAACCTTAAAAACCCACTTCCTTAGCTTTTAATTAATGGAGAATACCCCCCCCCAACCCCCTCCAACAAAACATTCTTTGTGTTCATAGGCGTACTGCGCGGGTTCATTGCAAGACGCTCACTGAGATCAGAGGCGTGTCGTAGGTGAGGCGAGACACGGCCCGTGCATGGGCGCCACTATTCTGGTAAAGGAATATATTTATTAAAAATATGTCGACAACTAGCTAAGTATCACTTAATTCTACTTTTTGCTCTGGAACTTAGTGTAACACATAGAATTCTAAAGCGTAAACTCCATAGGGGAGCGATTTTGCTTCTTGCCATTGGTCCCAAATGGACGTGGTACGCCCCTGACTAGGTTTGAAGAATTTAGAAAACGAATTTTTTAAAGTAACATTTTATTTTGAATGCATTAATAAAATGAAATCTTTTGACCTCCAAATGATTTTTGGTAAATTTGGAGAGATGTCGGTCACATGGCCGCCATCTTGTTTGACACGACCAGTTAATTCTGTCACTAAAACTAAACTAAATGTATCCCTCAAACTAACCCGAACCCTAATTGTATCCCTCAAATTAACTTGAACCCTAATTCACTGTTAACTATAATAAACACGCAAATGACGTCATGGCGACAAATGAGCCTGATTTTTTTAGAAGGGGATTCCCCTTAATGACGCACGGCAATCTCAGCTGTCATTTTCAACTGCTGAAATTAATTTTTGTCATTTACTTTGAGAACACGTTACACCACGCGCAGGGCATTCACGTGCTGATCTAGCTACCAGTGAGGCTCCTGTTGAAAGAGGGGCTAATGGCACCTGGAATGAGGCTGGACATTAGCCAAGGGTGCGCGTGGATTTAATCATTAATTAGGCTCGAGGTTCCGTGTCTACAGTGGGTAAAATCTGTTCAACTTTAATGAACAGAAGTTAGGGGTGTACCCGTTTATAAAGTTAAGTCTTAGGTTGTGTTTAAAGTTGTAATTTTAAGAATACGGTGTTGACCATCGGAGGGATTCTCCAGCTAAGACATGAGAGGGAGTCGCCAGTTTAGACCATCAGATGGAGTCTCCACATTTGAATGAGGTCAAGTAAGGTTGTTTTTTTTCATAATGAGTTCTTAAGTTTTGAAATCGTTTCTATGAGACATAATCTCAAAGAAAAAAAATCAGAGCTTTTCGATTCAACATGGGACACGGCACGTAAAACATGGGACACGTCACTTAATACATGGGACACGGCACGTAAAACATGGGACACGTCAATGTAATACATGAGACACGTCACGTAAAACATGGGACACGTCTTTTCAAACATGGGACACGTCAGGTCAAACATGGGACACGTCATGTCAAACATGGGGACACGTCATGTCAAACATGGTACACGTCACGTCAAACATGGGACATGTCACGTCAAACATGGTACACGTCACGTCAAACATGGTACACGTCACGTCAAACATGGGACACGTCACGTCAAACATGGGTCACGTCACGTTAAACATAGTACACGTCACGTCAAACATGGGACACGTCACGTCAAACATGGGACACGTCACGTCAAACATGGGTCACGTCAAACATAGGACACGTCACGTCAAACATGGGACACGTCACGTCAAACATGGGACACGTCACGTAAAACATGGGAAACATGGGTCACGTCAAACATAGGACACGTCACGTCAAACATGGGACACGTCACGTCAAACATGGGACACGTCACGTAAAACATGGGACACGTCACGTCAAACATGGGACACGTCACGTCAAACATGGGACATGTCACGTCAAACATGGTACACGTTACGTCAAACATGGGACACGTCACGTCAAACATGGTACACGTCACGTCAAACATGGTACACGTCACGTCAAACATGGGACACGTCACGTCAAACATGGGACACGGCACGTCAAACGTGGGACACGTCACGTCAAACATGGGACCCGTCATGTCAAACATGATACATTTAGAAATGAGTTTTTAGCGTCACAATTTGACCTGACACGGTGTGTCAAGAGATCGGAATAAGTGTTAAAGGTGTCCGAATAATGTGTACATGTTATACACTCAGACCCAAAACGTCAGAAACTGTTCACAATATATGTTGTTGTTTTTAAAATTGTTCTGGCATCACCTCTCTAGAGCTTTGGAGTTGCCACAAACTCCATCTGACTGTCATGGACGATGCAAGTGTGTCACATGACACGTGTATTGATACATCCACCCACTGGTCGCCTGTCTTAGCGGTGCGACGTCAGATCTTAACCACGTGTATTTTACCTGGCTGATGGCTTCTCTCGGAATCTACCCCTGTCCTCTTCTTACAGAGTGCCACCTACTTAATACGTCCCCACCCCCCACCCCCCACCCCACGGGTCAATCAGACACTTGCCTTTATAGGCACTCAACCTCTTGGGTCGGCCAGACCCGTTGCTCAATTAATTGGGCACCTCACGCAACGTCAAATGCCACGGTGATTTGACCTGTGACTTTGGGACCTGTCAGATCATTGACCTCATTGGGGCAATGGGTGTTCGAGAAGACTTATCCCCTCTTGCCCCCCACTTGTCCTGGAATGACGTCTTAAGCTGTCGCCATAAGTAGGTCTTCTGCGCATACTCTTGACTGACGTGATGCCCTCGAGATGATATTGCTGGGGAGATAGTCGAGGAACGTGTATCTGTTGTTTAAGGAGTTCAAGAGTATGACAACGGCACCCTGACTGGTGAACATTGAAGAAATTACACGTGAACGCATTCGTGTCTCAAGTGGCGAAGAGGGATGTGGGGGGGGGGGGGGGGGGGGACGACACCTAGGAAAGCATTAGCGGTGCACATTATATTAGCAGTGCACATTAAAGGAGTTCAAGAGTATGACAACGGCACCCTGACTGGTGAACATTGAAGAAATTACACGTGAACGCATTCGTGTCTCAAGTGGCGAAGAGGGATGTGGGGGGGGGGGCGGGGGGGACGACACCTAGGAAAGCATTAGCGGTGCACATTATATTAGCAGTGCACATTATATCAGCAGTGCACATTATATTAGTGGTGTACATTATATTAGCGGTGCACATTATATTAGCGGTGCACATTATATTAGCAGTGCACATTATATTAGCGGTGTACATTATATTAGCAGTGTACATTATATTAGTATATACATTATATTAGCAGTGAACATTATATTAGCGGTGTACGTTATATTAGCGGTGTACATTATCTTAGCGGTGTACATTATATTAGCAGTGTACATTATATTAGCGGTGTACATTATATTAGCGGTGTACATTATATTAGCGGTGTACATTATGTTAGCGGTGTACATTATATTAGCAGTGTACATTATATTAGTGGTGTACATTATATTAGTGGTAAAAATTATATTAGTGGTGTACATTATATTAGCTGTGTACATTATATTAGCAGTGTACATTATATTAGCAGTGTACATTATATTTGCAGTGTACATTATATTAGTGGTGTGCATTATATTAGCGGTGTACATAATATTATTGGTGTACATTTTATTATTGGTGAACACTATATTAGCAGTGTACATTATATTAGCGGTGTACTCAAGATTATAGATTTATATTAGATTAGTTGTGTACAATAGATTATTGGTCCACGTGAGATAAAAGTGTAGATCAGACTCCTGGTGCACATTCTTGTACCGTACCAAACGAAAACTGCCTTCTCATTGTTTTAATTTAAGCCTACTACCTTTGACGGGACACTTAAGATATATTTATGTTGGCACCCCTTTACCTGCATTATTATGGCACCTTACTACCTGCATTATGGCAACCTAGTACTAAATTATGGCATCCCACCTGCATTATGGCACCCATTACTAGATTATGGCACCCCCACCTGCATTATGGCACCCTACTACCTGCATTATGGAACCCGACTACCTGCATTATGGCACCCTACTACCTGCATTATGGCACTCTACTACCTGCATTATGGCACCCTACTACCTGCATTATGGCACTCTACTACCTGCATTATGGCACCCCACCTGCAATATGACACCCTACTACCTGCATCATGGCACCTCAGTACTAAATTATGACGCCCTACTACCTGCAATATGGCACCCTAATACCTGCATTATGGCACCCCCACCTGCAATATGGCACCCTACTACCTGCATCATGGCACCTCAGTACTAGATTATGGCACCCCACTACCTGCATCATGGCACCCCAGTACTAGATTATGACACCCTACTACCTGCATTATTGCACCCCACTACCTGAACGAATGGCAACCTACCACCCATAGCGTACGACCCGTCCCCTGGGGAACATCTACCTGACGTTGACTATTCCAGGTATGCTTGCCATCCATCAGTAGTATGTACCTATGAGACCGCGCGCGCGGCATGTGTGTGCCGTGCAGGCGAGAGCTTGTGTGACCAGATTACAATGGCGCTGTAGACTTTGTCGGCTAGATTGGTTTTATTCACACTCACCCGCTCACCGGATCACCAGCTTGTCATGGAGCACTCACCACAAGCCGCACTCCGCCCACATTCCAGCCACACGTACATGTAGCCTCATGATGAGATCCTCGTGTGGTTTGCCAACGCTTTGGGCTGATGCTAGGCACAAACAAATTTGTATGATAAAATTGCATAAAAAATTTTAGTGTAATGCTTGTCTATAAAAGTTCACTTTAAAGGGGTTGTTAATAAAAAGTTAAATGTAAAAGATACAATGTTTGTGTATAAACGTTCAGTTTAAAAGGGTTCCACTACCAGAATGAATTTATGTTTATGCATGGCGGGAACGACGAAGTCAGAGCAGGCCCTGGGCGTCAAAATGCCTAACTTCGGTGCAGATAGACGCACTGCACCCCCCTCCACTTAAACGCCAATCTGGACCATAAGCGGCGTCACGGCGAACTAGTCACATGATTTTGGCGCCCCTGTCTGTGTGAAGTACATATGGTTTTATCGTTTAATTCCCTATTAAGGGCTTATCATAAGACGATTTCGGCACCCCATCGTCTTGGCGCCCGGGGTGATTGGGTCTCTCGCACCCTCCTTCGCCTCGGCCCTTCGTATATTAATTTGCCATATGTGCAACCATACATCCATATACCCCTTAAATCGCTCGAACACACACACTCGTCATTTATTTCCTTCTGCTCTCTTATAAACTTCCGCTAATGTTATTTATTTATTTATTGCCTCTTAACGCTCGCATCTCTTATCTAACTTCGTCACGTGATCTATCGTTTAATCTCTTGAACCTCCTTCCGTCGGCTGAGCTAAACTGTGTCACGTGACATGGCGCATCTGTGCCGGGAGTTCAACAATTTCTGGTTCCTGGACAATTTACGAAGCAGTAAAAAACGGACTTATCATTTACATCATGTACTTATAATTTACACCATATAATCATTTACATCATGTACCCATCATTTACATCATGTACTTATCATTTACATCATGTACCCATCATGTACCCATCATGTACATCATGTACTCATCATTTGCATCATGTAACCATCATGTACATCATGTATTTATCATTTGCATCATGTACCCATCATATACATCATGTACTCATCATTTGCATCATGTAACCATCATGTACATCATGTATTTATCATTTGCATCATGTACTCATCATTTGCATCATGTGTCCATCATGTACATGATGTATTTATCATTATCATCATGTACCCATCATGTACATCATGTATTTATCATTATCATCATGTACCCATCATGTACCCATCATGTACATCATGTATTTATCATTATCATCATGTACCCATCATTTGCATCACGTTTTAAAACGTTGCATTCACATTTACAATTACAGTAGTTGTCCTATATAAGTAGTGTTCACATTTACTGAGTCAGTAGTAATCATCCAGCAAGGATACGTGTAGCTATTCCGTTCAGACGTACACATTGATGAAACACAACATTTGTAGCTATTCCGTTCAGACATACACAATGATTAAACACAACATGTATAGCTATTCCGTTCAGACATGCACAATGATTAAACACAACATTTGTAGCTATTCCGTTTGGTAGGGATGTTAATCTTATATTATCTAACTGGCTTTTTTTTTTTCATTCATGTGCTGGATTTTCTTTAAGCTTTCTTTCTTGTTGATTGTGTCGGATGTGCTTGAGAGATCCATGCTTACCTCCGCTTAGTCAAGGGTCATTTTAAACACCCCCTTTCCCCCCGGCCCGTAACAAAAATTCTTAAGGCTCTGAGAGCTAAAATACTCTCCACGGCCTAATAATATTGCACGACGTTATAATCTTTGGTCAATTTTAAAATGAAATATAAGAACAAGGTAAGTTGAAGCTTGAATCAAAAGACAGGAAAATAAGATGGCTTAGAGCAGCGGTTCTCAACCTGTGGGTCGCGACCAACTTTGGGGGTCGAACGACATTCACACAAGGGTTGCCTAAGACCATCGGAAAACGCATATTTATGAAGTTAAAGTGAAAATAATTTTATGTTTGTGGGGTCGCCACAACATTAGGAACGGCATTAAGGTGTCGCGGCATCCAGTGGCTTAGATCTTTCTCCAGTTCACGTCATATTGTCCTGTCTTTTCATACAAGCTTCAATAAACCTTGTTCTGCTAGTTCATTAACGCGGCTTGAATGCAAGTCCTTCAATTGTTAAATTTTAAAAAACCTCCAATGATTTGTACTATTAAAATTATGAAATTTTATGTTGAAAAATTGGAAACAATAAGGTGTGTGCCACCACGCGAAATTTAGAATGTATCAATTTCTCTCCGTGTTGGTGTTTGCACCTGAGCTTGGACCCGAACCACTATAAGGGTATTTAAGATGTTATATTTCCTCTCTTTTTAAAAAAAAAATCTTTCCGTGGTCCGTTGTAAAGGAGGCCATGAATACGTCCCCCGGTGACCCAAACTCCATCACCACTACACGACCATCAAGTGAGAGTCTTACCATAGCAGGCAGTAAATATTTGCTTGATCAAAGTCGGCTGGGGGCATCTGTTTAACAACGGCGCAGGTCTGATGAAAGACTGATCGCTCGTACACAGCTTGCCTATCTAGATAGAGGTGATTGTTTGGTTTTTACCAAAATGGTTTTATGATGGGGCGGTAGATTTCTGGAAATTAAAAGGTGAATGTTTTATTGCTCTGAGTAACGCGGAATGTTTTATTGCTCTGAGTAACGTGGAATGTTTCATTGCTCTGAGTAACGTGGAATGTTTTATTGCTCTGAGTAACGTGGAATGTTCTATTGCTCTGATTAACGTGGAATGTTTTATTGTTCCGAGTAACGTGGAATGTTTTATTGCTCCGAGTAACGTGGAATGTTTTATTGCTCCGAGTAACGTGGAATGTTTTATTGCTCTGAGTAACGTGGAATGTTTTATTGCTCTGAGTAACGTGGAATGTTTTATTGCTCTGAGTAACGTGGAATGTTTTATTGCTCTGAGTAACGTGGAATGTTTTATAGCTCTGAGTAACGTGGAATGTTTTATTGCTCTGAGTAACGTGGAATGTTTTATTGCTCTGAGTAACGTGGAATGTTTTATTGCTCTGAGTAACGTGGAATGGTTTATTGCTCTGAGTAACGTGGAATGTTTTATTGTTCCGAGTAACGTGGAATGTTTTATTGCTCCGAGTAACGTGGAATGTTTTATTGCTCCGAGTAACGTGGAATGTTTTATTGCTCTGAGTAACGTGGAATGTTTTATTTCTCTGAGTAACGTGGAATTTTTTATTGCTCTGAGTAACGTGCAATGTTTTATTGCTCCGAGTAACGTTGAATGTTTTATTGCTCTGATTAACGTGGAATGCTTTATTGCTCCGAGTAACGTGGAATGTTTTATTGCTCCGAGTAAGGTGGAATGTTTTATTGCGTCGAGTAACGTGGAATGTTTTATTGCTCCGAGTAACGTGGAATGTTTTATTGCTCTGAATAACGTGGAATGCTTTATTGCTCCGAGTAACGTGGAATGGTTCATTGCTCTGAGTAACGTGGAATGGTTTATTGGGAGTGTTCATTGGATAATCCTTAATTAAATATTGGATATAATTACCGGTGCATTTTTTTTAAAAAATAAATCGCACGTAATTGATACAAATGGGTTTTATATGCAATTATATGAGCTGGGTTGCTTAAAAGGTATAATAGTTTTAATCACTTACTAGAATCAGCATCAATACAATTAACAACATGAATTCGTTGTATTGTGTTATTGTATTTTATTTCAATATTTCTTCATGAGTTTTTACAAAAAATGTTTCAGAATAGCCATTCTTTTTATAAAGTGTATGTTTAAAGGGATCAAATAATTTAGTTTTTTTTTTTCTTTTTTTTTTTAAATTAAATATATATTATCCAACTTATTGTTGTGAGTTGTTGGTTTTCAAATCGTCCTTTGATAATGATGTAGGATCGTCTCGCGACTTTATGATTCAAACATTTAGCGTGCCAGGTTGGAGATTATTGTCTTCACTTTTGTCTGGTAACTCTAGTCTAAGACTCGGATTTGAGCCGTGATAATCCACCTCTGAGGATCGCTTTAGTTACCATATTTTTTATCATTACATAAATCTTACATTTTTGTATACACCGCTGAATCCACTATATGACACCGTCATCTTCAGTTACTTTCTCATTTTTTTCTCAACGTTCAGCATAGCACCCGTGTAATGTCATCTTTAGGATATCATGGGATGACTTCAGCAGATGGTGTTTGATGACATTAACAAAAATAACATATGGTAAGCTGATTTCGCCAGGGGAGAAAATCTGGAGACTTTTCAGAGCTGTTCCCCCCAAGGGACTAAACTGTACTTAGGACCTATGAGCCCCCCCTCCCCCCCCCCCACTTTTCCGTGCTCCGATGAAATCATCGTGTGTGTGTGTTACAACAAAAAAATTTAACCAGGTGTGGCCAAAACACGGGCCACATGAGGCCCACCACGTCACATAGTGCGGCCCGCGAATGCCTGTTTTATCACAAATCAACTTATTCGTTGGTCATTCTATGGACAAAGACAGTGATGGTAACAAGATCAGCGAGATGAAAGATTGAATGACGTCACATGAGTTGAGTTATGCTCTGCGTTGTGATCTAACAGGTCACCGTGTGCATTAAGAATTGATCAACAATTCTCTACTGGATGTTGATTTTAATAGAAATGGTCATAGCATGCGGCCCGCAAACGGTTTACTAGCTATCACAGTGGCCCGCGAAGTCTTTTGGGGGGTGGGCAGCCCCCGTTTTAAGCAACGATTTTAACTTAAGACAAGATTGCAACGATCGAGAAGTGTGGGTAGTCCATTACCATTATTACAGATTTAGTCCATTACCATTATTACAGATTTAGTCCATTACCATTAGTACAGATTTAGTCCATTACCATTATTACAGATTTAGTCCATTACCATTATTACAGATTTAGTCCATTACCATTAGTACAGATTTAGTCCATTACCATTAGTACAGATTTAGTCCATTACCATTATTACAGATTTAGTCCATTACCATTATTACAGATTTAGTCCATAACCATTATTACAGATTTAGTCCATTACCATTATTACAGATTTAGTCCATTACCATTATTACAGATTTAGTCCATTACCATTATTACAGATTTAGTCCATTACCATTATTACAAATTTAGTCCATTACCATTATTACAGATTTAGTCCATTACCATTATTACAGATTTAGTCCATTACCATTATTACAGATTTAGTCCATTACCATTATTACAGATTTAGTCCATTACCATTATTACAGATTTAGTCCATTACCATTAGTACAGATTTAGTCAATTACCATTATTACAGATTTAGTCCATTACCATTAGTACAGATTTAGTCCATTACCATTATTACAGATTTAGTCCATTACCATTATTACAGATTTAGTCCATTAACATTAGTACAGATTTAGTCCATTACCATTAGTACAGATTTAGTCAATTACCATTAGTACAGATTTAGTCAATTACCATTAGTACAAATTTAGTCAATTACCATTAGTACAAATTTAGTCCATTACCATTAGTACACATTTAGTCCATTACCATTAGTACACATTTAGTCCATTACCATTAGTACACATTTAGTCCATTACCATTAGTACACATTTAGTCCATTACCATTAGTACACATTTAGTCTATTTTTGTTAGTTCTAAAGGCAGTGAAACCATTTTTTTTGGGTTCACTTCTGAAGGCAGTGGGACATTTGCACGGACACAAGGCTTTATTGTCCTCTCAATAATGTCATGGTTACTCTTCTGAGCACCCCACTTTTCATTTTATTTCAATTCCAATAATACCCCTCCTCGAAATGTGAACTCTGATGCAGAAATGGTCATTGGCCGCACAATGGTTATAGAATTGCTTGTATTATGAGAACCGCTGTATCAGTTGTATATCATATGTTGGCCGCTGTTGTTAATGAAGCTGCCCGTGGGGAGTGCGTGCTGAACTGGGCGTGAGTTGCTTTAGGTCAGTGGTTCCCAAATGTTCAAGTTCAGCTGACCGGTGGATCAGTTTCCCTTTGACACCAGGTACCGGTGAAAGATTAAGTTGTTTTTTTTTTATTTGAACCTGAAATATCATTCAATTATTTGTTTTGATCCATGATCAGCCCTGATCAGCCATGATCAGCCCTAGCTGATCAATAAAAGATAATAACTGATGGACTGCGCTGTTGTGTCAATAAACAATGAGAACAAGGTCTGCTAAACTTGAATTCTTAAAAAGGGCAAAAGACTTTCACGTTTCGGCTTAGCGCCGTGATCAACCCTGTCACCTACAACCATTTCATGATGTCCGATCAGCCCTTGCCGATCAATCCTGTCAACTATAACCATTTCATGCTGTCCGATCAGCCCTTGCCGGTCAACCCTGTCACCTACAACCATTTCATGATGTCCGATCAGCCCTTGCCGATCAACCCTGTCAACTATAACCATTTCATGCTGTCCGATCAGCCCTTGCCGATCAATCCTGTCCACTACCAACATTTTTAATGATGTCCGTTTTTAGCTACGGCTGTTAAACTGTAATGAACTTTGATCATATTCCCTGTCTCATTTTGTGCGGACCGCAAACGTAAGGCTCGCGCCCTGGGGGCCTGTCCGCGGACCACCGCTTTTGGGGAAACACTGGCTTGGATGACGAGGCGCCCTGGTTCTGATTGGTCCTGACAGGCCCGTCATTTCGGCCTCGTGTTCCGACGGCATTTCTCACACCTGTTCGAGGGTGAAAGTGAATCTCTAGAAAAGCTCACTCTCTCCTGGTGATTATAAGTGCTAAAAGAAAGATGCTGCATTTTATAAGAGCGGTTCTCTCCCTCTGTGTGTGCACAATAGACATCGGATGTGCACAATAGACATTGAGTGTGCGCATTAGACATCGGGTCGTCGTTAGCCAGGGAATGCGGTGCACATTAGACATGGGGCTTGCACTATGGCTACAGCGCCGTGGTTAGACTAGGAATGTGGTAACAATAGATACAGCGCCGTGGTTAGATTGGGAATGTGGTCATAATTGCCAAGATGGCCTTGCTATCGTAAGATGGTTTCGATTAATTTTATTTTTTTTAATTTGGCAAAAAGCCATAATTTTGTCATTCCAATCTTAATTTTATTTATATTCCTCATATGATAATAAACAGGGTTTGACTTCGTCTGATGGAGCCTGAGTGAAATTCAGCACATACCTACATACACATATTCTATTATCCCCACTGTAATCTGATTTACCATGTCACCCTGACTCATTAATGGCGCCATGTTTAATCAACACCCACATTGTCTTAAGTGTTGATTCCACCTCGCGCCCCCTATCTCCCCCCTAGAGCCCCCCTCTTCCTTCGCGCCCCCCTCTTCCCTCACGCCCCCCTCCCTCCACTCGCAGGTAAAGGGAATATCACCCTGGCCTGCATGGTTCTGTCAGTACAGAATCGTCCGTAGAGATGCATATCATAATGTGCCGCACCTTTCATACAATTGAATTCTGCAATTACTGGAGGATTTCTTGAGTGTACTCTGTTCAAGACTGGAATATTACTTGAGTGTATTCTGTACAAGACTGGAAGATTTCTTGAGTATACTCTGTACAAGTCTGGAAGATTTCTTGAGTGTATTATGTACAAGACTGGAAGGTTTCTTGAGTGTACTCTCTACAATACTGGAAGATTTCTTGAGTGTAATCTGTACAAGTCTGGAAGATTTCTTAAGTGTACTATGTACAAGTCTGGAAGATTTCTTGAGTGTACTCTGTACAAGTCTGGAATAAATATGTTCATTGCTTGCCTAGTTTTTGTGTTGTTTCAGGTAAGGAGCCTCTTTGATATTTTTCAAGGTCCTCAATGGTTTGCCATGAGTGTTTTATATTTTCTAAGACGTACATCACAAAACTAATGATCTATGGCACAAAAGTTTCGCTGTCTTAACACTGCCTGCTGATGCCGTGTGCCCTACATTACTTGCCGTCTCATTACATGCTGTCTTATTATATGCTGTCTTACTATATTTACTTCTCATTTCAACATTATTTATTTTCTCTGTAAACTGAAGTATTGAAGGCGTTAGTAAAGTCGCAAGTTAAGCGCGCGCCTAACTAATTTTATGTTTATTCCCACAAGACTGTATTGAATAGGGTGACAGAGGTATTTGATGAGTCGTATCTTTACAATTATTTTCAAAACACCACGCACACATGCACACACATGCACAAACATGCACACACATGCACACACATGCACACACACATGCACACACACGAGGTGGTGGAGCAATCCGTCCTGTGAGAAGTGATTAAGATTTCTAAAAGTCCCCTGTGCTGAGAGCTTTAGTGCCGAAATGTTCGTCTCTACTGTGTCTAGAGTAAATCTTTACTTCATCACGCTTACATTTATGTTACTTTTTTATTTGCTTAAAGGTTAATCTTTACATCTGCCAGCGTAGTTGAACGTCTAAGTACTTTATCATGGAGATTTTAATTGAGAACCACTGAGAAGGAAACTATAAAGCTGTATTGAATTATTGGCGATATAGAATGAATGTAATTATTTGTCTACTCTTGTCTCTTACACACCATGGCGTCACAAGACTTGATGACTTGACAAATAGCTTTATTTAAAATGTGTTCGCGTCAGTTGCCAATGACTCTGTGTGTGAATTACCAGTTTGACCAACGACTCTCTGGGTGAATGGTCAGTGACTCTAGGTGATATTTACCATTGACTCTAGGTGATATTTACCACTGACTCTATATAGGGATGCGTTACCATGCAATGACTCTAGGGGTGTTTTAACAGTTGCCGCTACCTCTAGCATATATTAATGATACCCCAAATACGAATGGAAGGGGGGCAAAAGGTGTACACATTTGATGTCGTGACGATCGATTAACTATTAATGAATTCAATATTTATCTACCCTATTTATACTTCCAGATCCCTGCCATGGCCAAGAAACAGGTCAACCAAAGTGCCAGTCCGAAGAAACAAAGGAACAGACCCAAAAAACGAACTACTCCATCAACAGGATCCGTCACAGATTACGTTCTAAACGTCATTCCTGTCCATCTCCACTCACTGACCATAGCACAGGCCACGGCTCTTGTCGTGGGGCTGACACTATCCACCTTGATACTATTTAAAGAGGTCCGCTACTTGGACAGGGAGGCTAGTCAGGAGGAGCGATTCGGGGGCTGGAGACCGGCCAGTGACGACATCCTGCAGAAATACGGCTCGGATGTATGCTCGGTTGAGAGGGTCTCCGTCCACGACCTTTCACCCGAGAGATTCGAGGAGGAGTTCCGGTTCAAGAAATCCGTCCTTGTGACTTTTCCGAAAGGGAGCGCAGGTTGGACCGACCCGTACCAGTGGTCAAGGCAGGGTCTGGTCGATGCCTACAGCAGCTGGGCCATACATTCTGGCCAGTCGCTGGAGATTGTCAGAGCCGGCGGCAACGCCAAACACAAAACGTCCTTTCTGGATTTTGTTGAGAAGCTGCTGGACAACCCTAAAAATGGAACACAGGAGCCTATGTAATGAAATAACTATATTTATATATGTATATTTATATTTACGGTACATGTACGCATACGTACTGTGATAACTCGTGCTTTTGCGTTTCAGGATTCACGGATTCGCGAAATTTTAATTGGAACCTAATTAATGTGCATTCGCGATTTTTTTTTTTTCCCCCACAGATTTGCAAAATCCCCAACCAAAAAAAAGCGTGCAAAGTTTTTTGTTTAAATTTGATGTTTTTAAGCGTTTAAGAGTTACGTTGGTACAAAAAATGTTTGACTAAGGTTAATGATAATTCTAATGTTTATTTTTGTTATTATTGCTTTGTGTGTGTGTGGGGGGGGGGGGGTTACATTTATATACATATAGAAAAAATCAGTTTAAAAAGTCCTTCGAAAAAACCCGGCTTGCCGTATGGAAAAGTTACTTATTATTTAAAGTACGGTACTGAATTAAATTTGATTTTTTTAAGTGTTTTAGAATTACGTTTGTATAAATAATGTTTGACTAAGGTTTATGATAATTCTAATGTTTATTTTTGTTATTATTGCTTTGTGTGTGTGTGGGGGGGGGGTTACATTTATATACATATAGAAAAAATCAGTTTAAAAAGTCCTTCGAAAAAACCCGGCTTGCCGTATGGAAAAGTTACTTATTATGTAAAGTACGGTACTGATGCGGATACCCGTTGTCAAAGTTTATTCCCCTTTGTAACACTAGTGGTTACTTAATTACTGCAAATTACCGGGAGATCATTTACTATTTTGTAACAGTAAATGTTAGCGTAAATTCAACACAAAGTATTACATTCTCCGCCATAGTGTTTCTTAGAGAATGGATACTTTGTCGGGTATGGGTGATGTTAGCTAACTTATAAAATGAATTCAAGCGCTGGGGTTCCCTATTTGGGGATGAACTCTAGCAATAAAAATTTATTTGCATTTTTATTGACTCGTAACAAACATTTACGATTCCACCTGACCTGCCATGGGTTCTGGAACCTAACCTCGCGAATGTTCGAGGTATATTACTGTATATATATATTATATATATATACATATATATATATACATATTTTCTCTATCAACACACCTAACCTATCTATTACCTGCGATATCTAGGTCCCGACATAACCTGTATATCACGTGACCTGACCTGTCTATTGCTATACTTCTCTTAACATTGGCTATTTAAACATCGGGACACAGAATCCATTATCAGACCTATGAAGGGATGAATCATCATTAACTGTCCCATCATTTGAACTAAATATTTAGTCGGCCCTCTTCAGAAGGCACCTGTGACTACGAGTAATATTGCACTGTGCACCGAGAGTAATCGTTGCATTTTGCACTGAGAGAAAGTTTTGCACTTTGCACTGAGAGAAATTGTTGCACATTGCATTGAGAGGAATGGTTGCACTGATAAATGGGTGTTTGTTCCTATTCCCCTTGGTGTCGTGATTTGATGTAGATCTCCCACGATCTGATTCGCCTTTCATTCCTACAGGAACTATGGCTTTGATCGTCATTTCTACTGGGAGACCAAACTACCCGAAACACTGCGTTTACCTAAATATTTCCAAGTCAATGTAAGTGTTTTCATATAATCCCTCAATTTTTATATAAATATGATAAATTGTTTCATAAGTTTATGATTTGTATTTATTTCTTTGTTATAGTTTTTTTGTTAACATTATTTTTCCCAAGTTCCATAGTTCCAGAAAACTGAAAAGGTCAAGTTCCTATTTTCCTGCTAACTATTCACCGTTATATTATGATTCACAACGTTGCTCGTATATATTACATTGAGATATCATCACATTTAGACTTGAGTGCCACTCACTGTCAATAACAAAACAGAAGACACCAGCGCCCCACCCCACCAGAGCCCCACCCCACCAGCGCCGCGCCCCACCCCACCAGCGCCCCACCTTACCAGCGTCCCACCCCAGCAGCGCCCCAACCTACAGCGCCCCACCCTACCAGTGACTCACCCACAAGCGCCCCACCCCACCAGCGCTCCACCCCACCAGGGCCCTATCCTACCAGCGCCCTACCCCAAACACCCAAATTAATTTTTTTTGTTGTTGTTATTTTAAACCAGGTAATTATTTTATCTCAGTCCAAAGCTAGTTCTGTCATTTGGCCAGTTAATGACATGGACTAAAATGTCAAATTGTATTCGTGATCTAAGAATGGGTGTTAAGTGTCAGCAGCAGACAAACTGTAATGGCCACAGAGCCACACAAGAATGTAATAATTTAGATTACTCTGGCTGCAAATCAAAATGTGTACTCCAGGATGGAATCTTGAATTATGTAAGACTCAAATAATGTAAGACTCAAATAATGTAAGACTCAAATTATGTAGAGTCAAATAAGGTAAGATTCGCTCACTATACGACAGACTTACTCACTCTAAGACAGACTCACTCACGATACGACAGACTCACTCACTGTATGATAGACGCCCATAACAGGACAGACTCACTCACTATTCGTAGACTCTCATAAAACGACAGACTCAGACACTATTCGTAGACTCTCATAATACAACAGACTCAGTCACTATACGACAGACTCACTCACTATTATACGATAGACTCTCATAATAGGACAAACTCAAACATGGCGTAGGAGAGTGGACTGCGAACACTTTAAACGCAGCGTTTTCGGTCGACCGGACGTCCCCACGGACCGGGGGGGGGGGGCTCCGGTGGCGGGGAGACCTGGCGGCTGGCCCGTGTGGGGGCGTGCCGGGGGGGGGGGTTATTAAGAGCTCTCGCTCGACGACCCACTGACGCCATTTCCCAACGTGACGTATTTCCTGGCGTATGAACGGGGTGCGAAGAGGGCGGTCCGCCCCGGGCGCTATTTAATTATTTCAACAGTGGGTTGGTCTTGTCGACCAACTGCAGAGGTGTTGTTGTTGTTTGTTCGGGGCTAGGAGCGGTAAAACCTTTGGCCCGCCCCGGGCGGCATTATCCCCGGTTGCAAGGTTGTCGACACTCATTTCCCGGCTCCACAAAGAACAACATGTGATCAAAAGAGCTGGTTTATTTTTTCCTCCTTATTCCTTGCCTTTATATTTAATTTAAAAAGTGGCATTTTCGTTTTTTCAGTACAAATTAAATGTTAACATATTTATTTATTTTTTTTTTTTTTTTTGTCGATTATTTTATAAATACCTTATTCCTTGCCTTTATATTTAATTTAAAAAGTGGCATTTTCGTTTTTTCAGTACAAATTAAATGTTAACATATTTATTTATTTTTTTTTTTTTTTTTGGCGATCATTTCATAAATACCTGACACTAATTGAAATTTTCCAGCCCCGCCATTTGAAAGGATTTTAAAGGAACGTTTGAACCCAAGTCTTACAGTACCGCACTAATATTTCACAGCAAGCTTTAATAATAAGCCCCATTTCCATCAATCCGTGCTATCTCCATTAATGCCATCAGAAGCTGCTGTTATCACTAATCCATTCACCCACGTTTTTCCTCTAAGAGAACAAAGGGGGATCACTCAGGTGACCGCGTGCCAGATTGCGAACTCCGCCATGTTTTTCCCGGCTAGCTATCGTGCTTCCCGTAATAAACACTTCCAGATTCATCACACGACTTCCGAGGACGGGCTCCACTATTGGGTTATCTCCCTTCTTTGGCCTCGCCTTTTCAGCACGTGCCTGGCCATTTGTAAACAATTTTTGTTACACCGGGTATCGATTAGCGCTGCTTCCTTTAAAGTCGATACCCACCTGAAGAGGCGCAGCTAGATTGTTTGGCACCCGGGGGAAAGATTCATTTAAAAGCGCCCCCCCCCCTCCTTTTTTTTTTTCTTTTTTCAACTCTCAAACCCATTATTTTCATTAAGAAAATAAAATCCAAGAACAATTTGGCGCCCCTAACTAGTCTGGCGCCCAGGTACATCCGCCCCCCCCTCTGCACCCTTAACTACGCCTCTGCCCACCGGTGTTGTTCAGAATTCAGATCTTATTTGTTAAAAATGAGATGCTAATGTTGAAACATCTTAATGAGGTCAAACAAACAAATAAACAAAGGTCACTTATATTTAGGATGCACAATAAAATTTAATTTATGGCCTAATGGAAAAAAAAATCCAAGGAAATAAGCAAGACTTTATTCATCATTGTTATTATTTGAATGCTTCAGTTGACATGGGCTCCTTGACCGACAATTTCAATTTGATTTTATTTCTAGAATGCCAGTGATGACATGCAATGGCCATTTGATTTATTTCCAGAATGTTACAGAGGACAGCATCTTCTTCTTGGGGTCGTCCATGACCGGCGTTGTCTTCCACAAGCACTCGGACACGTGGAACGGTGTCGTGTATGGGCAGAAACGGTGGTTTCTTTATCCCACTAACAAGTCGCCCCCAGGAGGTTAGCCCTATGTGTGTATATAGTCTATGTGTATGTTTCGGTCTTTCTGTGTGTGTCTGTCTGTGTGTGTCTGTGGAAATATAGTTATTTGATCTGAGTATTGTAATGTGTTTGTAATTCTTTGACGTGTTAGTGTATCACTAATGTATCCAACGAGGATCATCCACTTTTAGTATGAGAACCACTCTTGTTGTTCCTTGTTTTGTTTTTTTTTTTTAGGTTTGGCTAGCAACCGCAATGTATTTGTTCAAAAGCCCGTGAGTGAGAACCACTGTTTTTGAAATTAAGTGGGTGTTTTTTGGGTGGGGGTGGGGGCGGTTCCCCACTAGGATTTAATTTATATTTTAATGTGCGCCCTTGCTCAACACATTTTTAGAGTTTACTTTCCTAGTTGTGATCCATTATAATCATAGTCTTATGGGACTAGACTTTTAGTATGTCATTCCTCATGTACATTTCTCATGTTACATGTGTTATAGGTAAGTCTTTGGTTGTATGTGTTGGTATGGCAAGGCTCTGTATGTGTTGGTATGTCAAGACTCTGATTGTAAAAAGTACTAGCTCAGACCTTTAGGTCATTGGCAAAGGAGTAAAACATAAGAAGTTGATTTACGGAAAAAGAAAAGAGGGGGAGAATGGTAATGGTATTATGTCTTTAGAATGGGATAGATGGCTAAATGTCTTTAGAATGGGATAGATGGCTAAATGTCTTTTGAATCGGATAGATGGCTAAATGTCTTTAGAATGGGATAGATGGCTAAATGTCTTTTGAATGGGATAGATGGCTAAATGTCTTTTGAATCGGATAGATGGCTAAATGTCTTTTGAATCGGATAGATGGCTAAATGTCTTTAGAATGGGACAGATGGCTAAATGTCTTTTGAATCGGATAGATGGCTAAATGTCTTTAGAATAGGATAGATGGCTAAATGTCTTTAGAATGGGATAGATGGCTAAATGTCTTTAGAATGGGATAGATGGCTAAATGTCTTTTGAATCGGATAGATGGCTAAATGTCTTTTGAATCGGATAGATGGCTAAATGTCTTTTTAATCGGATAGATGGCTAAATGTCTTTTGAATCGGATAGATGGCTAAATGTCTTTTGAATCGGATAGATGGCTCAATGTCTTTGAATGGAATAGATGGCTAAATGTCTTTTGAATCGGATAGATGGCTAAATGTCTTTTGAATGGGATAGATGGCTAAATGTCTTTTGAATCGGATAGATGGCTAAATGTCTTTTGAATCGGATAGATGGCTAAATGTCTTTTGAATCGGATAGATGGCTAAATGTCTTTTGAATCAGATAGATGGCTAAATGTCTTTTGAATCGGATAGATGGCTAAATGTCTTTTGAATCGGATAGATGGCTAAATGTCTTTTGAATCGGATAGATGGCTAAATGTCTTTTGAATCGGATAGATGGCTAAATGTCTTTTGAATCTGATAGATGGCTAAATGTCTTTTGAATCGGATAGATGGCTAAATGTCTTTTGAATCGGATAGATGGCTAAATGTCTTTTGAATCGGATAGATGGCTAAATGTCTTTGAATCGGATAGATTGCTAAATGTCTTTTGAATCGGATAGATGGCTAAATGTCTTTTGAATGGGATAGATGGCTAAATATCTTTGAATCGGATAGATGGCTAAATATCTTTGAATCGGATAGATGGCTAAATGTCTTTGAATGGGATAGATGGCTAAATATCTTTGAATGGGATAGATGGCTAAATATCTTTGAATCGGATAGATGGCTAAATATCTTTGAATGGGATAGATAGCTAAATATCTTTGAATGGGATAGATGGCTAAATATATTTGAATCGGATAGATGGCTAAATATCTTTGAATCGGATAGATGGCTAAATGTCTTTGAATGGGATAGATGGCTAAATATCTTTGAATGGGATAGATGGCTAATCCATGAGAAAACTGTTGTACCAGTATCCCAATACCTATCCAACCAAAGATATTTCAATTGTGACAACTAACCTTAAATAGCCCACTGATGGATAGGAGAGCTGTGACCGTGAAACATAGCTACACCAGTTGGAATGAATGTTGGAGGAGTTGGAATGAATGTTGAAGGAGTTGGAATGAATGTTGGAGGAGTTGGAATGAATATTGGAATGAATGTTGGAATGCATCTTGCAATGCATCTTGGAATGCATCTTGCAATGCATCTTGGAATGCTTGGCCTTGGCTGAAACCTAGCAGCGAAACGAATTTCAACACGTCTCTATAGCTTATCCCACATTGGACATTTACACAATGTCCACTTATTCACAAAATATAAATGTACAAATGTACACAAAGTCCAGTTTGACTACACGTGTCACATTCATGTAGAGTCAAAATTCTCTTCACAGCCAACAAGACTTGCGACCCGACATGAGCCATTCTCAAATGAAGAGGTCCAGACACATGACACCCTCTCAGTCACATGACACCCTCTCGGTCACATGACACCATCTAAGTCGATTCGAGTATTTTCTCAAAATCCTTTAGTTAAATGAGACCCTTAAAACTTACGACACCAAGGCCTAAATGTAACCCAGTTTGTACCTGTGAAGTGCACACACTCTCAGTGCATGAAGAGATTCGGATGATGTTGAACAATTCACTCAGCATTGATGTCACCATTTGAATCTATTCAAGCACTTGCACAGTTTAGACTTTGTCATCCTCATGCTCACACAGTTTAGACTTTTTGTCATCCTCATGCTAACACAATTTAGACTTTTTGTCATCCTCATGCTAACACACTTTAGACTTTTTGTCATCCTCATGCTCACACAATTTAGACTTTTTGTCATCCTCATGCTCACACAATTTAGACTTTTTGTCATCCTCATGCTCACACAATTTAGACTTTTTGTCATCCTCATGCTCACACAATTTAGACTTTTTGTCATCCTCATGCTCACACAATTTAGACTTTTTGTCATCCTCATGCTCACACAATTTAGACTTTTTGTCATCCTCATGCTCACACAATTTAGACTTTTTGTCATCTTCATGCTCACACAATTTAGACTTTTTGTCATCCTCATGCTAACACAATTTAGACTTTTTGTCATCCTCATGCTCACACAATTTAGACTTTTTGTCATCCTCATGCTAACACAATTTAGACTTTTTGTCATCCTCATGCTCACACAATTTAGACTTTTTGTCATCCTCATGCTCACACAATTTAGACTTTTTGTCATCCTCATGCTCACACAATTTAGACTTTTTGTCATCCTCATGCTCACACAATTTAGACTTTTTGTCATCTTCATGCTCACACAATTTAGACTTTTTGTCATCCTCATGCTCACACAATTTAGACTTTTTGTCATCCTCATGCTCACACAGTTTAGACTTTTTGTCATCCTCATGCTCACACAATTTAGCCTTCTTGCCACACTGACGCTTGCGTGCTGTATTCGATGATCATTCTTGCAATTTAGTTTAAGGAATTGAGAGAGTGTCTGCAAAGGTCATGCACTAGTGTCCTGTGCACCAATTATTGTTCAGTGTCTCATGCACCAATTGTTCATTGTCTCATAAATCAGTTGTTTAGTGTCTTGTGCACCGATTGTTCATTGTCTCTTGCACCAATTGTTCGTGTCTCGTGCACCAGTTATTCAGTGTCCTTTGCACCAATTGTTCAGTTTCTTATGCACCAATTTTCAGTTGTTCAGTGTCGTGTGCACCAATAGTTTATTATCTTGTGCACCAGTTGTTCAGTGTCTCCCGCACCATTTGTTGAGTATCTCGTGCACCATTTGTTGAGTGTCTCGTGCACCATTTGTTGAGTGTCTCGTGCACGTATTGTGTTGACACACACCCTTTCATCTACTGAATGGCTTCAACATCAGGACAGCCAAAAACTGAAGTTTACTACTAATAGGCAGGGTGTGCCAAAAAAAGGGCGCCCACCAAGATATCGAAAAAAAAGTGTCGGAGCAGTAAAAAACGAACTATGTTACAATATATCATTTAATTCACTATAAAGGTCATATCTAAAGACAATTTTTGCGCCCATTTGATGTTGACCCCCCCCCCCCTTCTGATTTTATTGAATGCGCCGACCCCCTTTTTTCACACGGTCTATATGTGTACACTAGAGAAATAATAACAAATATCCCTTCGATTGCTTGAAGATAGAAAACCAAGACAAGCATTCCGATAAAATGTGATTTCCGTCTACTATGTTAAAATATTGTGGAGGATTTATGTAACAAATTATATTTAATGGAGATGTTATTTTATTTACATATTTATTCACCCTCCAAATTTAAAAGATAAATTAACAAAATAAAATAATTAACTATCTCATTGGATACGAATAGCAGGTCTGATAACTCCCATGTAGTGCTAGTAGAAACGGTATGATGCCGAGAACAGTTAAATCCCTTTGTTTTTAGTTTTATTGTAATACCATAATTTGTCTTAATATACAATAAGACCTCTGAACATTCGTGCAGCATTAAATTTTAAAATTTCGAGTCGAATTAAAATGAAACATCTGACTCAACTAATATGAACTTAATTATTGAGATCTTTAAGTCACACCTGTTGTACTTCCAATTTCCAATGCCCCCTGACACCAAAGGAATGTTTGGCCTCTCTTATTTTGTAGGTATCCATCATGGCTACAGTTTGTTAGACTGGGTGAACAATGTCTACCCAAATTTACCCGAAGCTGATAAACCCATGGAATGCGTCCAGGAAGCTGGCGAAATACTTTATTTGGTAAGTTTTGTTTACTTATGCCTCTGAGCAGGGGCGTCATTTCAGCTTTTTTTCAAAAAGAGGGGGGAGGGGGGACTTGGTCAGCTTGTTGTGTATTACTGAAGGCCCCAGATTACATAGCATTTAAATAAAACCTGCAAATTCCCCCCCCCCTCGGTCCTACACAAATGAAGTCCCTGCCTTCTGGGAGGTTACTGTAATCTTCTCATTATACAGGCCACTGAATTTTTTTTCAAGACTGAACTCTCAAGGTCAGGTCAAAGTTCATGCTATGGTACACCTGCTCTTATTACTTATTATAAATTTTTTAATACGTTCGAATTGTTATTATTCTACTGTGGTTCCTATGCACATTTTTTCTTGTATATCTTATCAACAATTAAACCACAACAGTTTCCAAAAAAGCACAACCATATCTTAAATGACTTTAGGAGTAGTGGCCCACTCTCCTATTGCCTGTAATACCTACTGACCCTTTACACTTAGATTAATTTATGATTTATGCAATTAAATATACATAAACATAATGTAACTAGAGCATAATTCCTCTTTTAAATATGTATTACAATATATTTGTCTGTTATACTTCCATTATTCTGTAAATGAAATTATAATTCATATTTGTTTAAATTTTGATCTTTTAATCTTTCCCCAGCCTGAAGGCATGTACCACGCTACGCTTAATCTAGGGGACACAATCGCTCTTGCTATCCAGAAAAAGACAGCCACATTACCTTCTGAAGTTTTATCTTATGAAGGTATCCCACGTTTTATGTGCTCTGGCTTCCAATGCTATCTATTCATTTTATGCATTGTATGCATAAACGTTCACAAACATGACTATGTATTCAGAGGTGGAACCACTCAACAAAAAATGTTTGGAAAGGGGAGGCACACTTAAATTTTTATTAATAATGTTTTTATTGAACAAATTTAATGTTTAGAGTCTTTATGTGAAGGCAGGTATGGACACCCAAGCTGCCAACTTAAGATATGACTTCTATTTAGGAAGTATAATCAAAGAACAATCACCATTCGGGGAAAAAAGTTTATTTATATATACATATCTATTTTTTTATTCACTGTGATCTCAGATAATCTGATTAATTGATTCTATCAACAATTTACAGGTTGTTCATAAATGTTAACAAAATCACTTATAAATGTTGAAGATTTATAATCTGTTGTAACAAACACATAAAAACCATTTAAATACAATTTATTAGTGACTTAAAAAATAATGAGGAATCTCCATTTTAAAATATATCAAGGGAACAGATAATGTCTGGGATGATAAGTTGAATACTTTGCCAATTTCTAGAGTGCTTTTTTTTTTCTTTTTTTTTTTTTACTTAACTATTAAAAATGTTTTTGATGTTCCCTTTATTTTCAATTAAATAATTAAGAAAAATTAAATATAAATATGTCATAACAGATAATGTCTGGGATGATAAGTTGAATACTTTGCCAATTTCTAGAGTGCTTTTTTTTTTCTTTTTTTTTTTTACTTAACTATTAAAAATGTTTTTGATGTTCCCTTTATTTTCAATTAAATAATTAAGAAAAATTAAATATAAATATGTCATGCATAGTTTCTTTGATGTTTTCTTTTCATTTCAAAACTATTGCTTAATGTTCAACATGTTGTTTTTTATCAATTTTTTAAATTATTAATGTCCCTCAGCTACTTCAACAATCAATATGTTGCAAGATTCTCCAGATAACGTACCCGTCGATAAATTTCATCAAAGATTGAAAGAAATTTATGAAAAGTGGCATGAGTTGCTCCCAGGTAAAGTAACTTGAAATGAATGGTCTAGAGCAAGGATTAGTTCAACTAATGCCTTTATTACTCATTTGCCTATATTTTGTTTGTAGACTAATTTTGGTACTAGAACATATTAAATAGATGCTTAGCACTTCATTTAAAGGGATACTTTTTTGTGTGTAGAATTTTATTTCACTTGCATCTTCCAAATATATAGATTTTATGTCTACCAACACCTTAATAACGTTTACTTTATTTGTATGAACATTTCAGTTTTTACTCGTTTTTTTCCTGATGATGGTCTGTGTGATTTCAGAAAATGCTGAGGCTGTAGAAAAACTTGGTGGGACTTTGTATGACATGGGTCAATATAAGGAATCTTTACCATTGCTGATGAAAGCTATAAAACTTGACCCATATTTTGTATTGGCATATGTCCACATGGCAAAAACATTGTCTAAGGTTAGTTATTGTTTGATAAACATCTTTAGATTGTAAAAAAAAGTTCATCAAATAGTTTATCCATAATTCCTTAAAATATTTTTTTCATTTTATTATTTTAGCCTTATTTTTTGGCCACTTTAATGTATCTCTCTTGTGTGTGGATATTGCAGCTGCGGGAATACCAACGAGCTGAAGTGGTGTTTCAAAAAGCCATGGAAGTGAATCCTAATCTGTGGGATATATATAAGGAGTATGGAGAGTTTCTTCTCAAACAAGGGAGACCAGCAGATGCACTCCCAATTTATAAAAAGGTACTTAATTAACGATTGTGAATTGATTGCTCAAGGAATATTTGCTTGCAGTGAAACAGCTGGCCAAGTAACATGATTTGATGCTTTATTGTTACATTCAAAATGACATTTCTGAAATAACACATAAGGTGTGTGCAGATGCTTCATCTCATTGTTTGAATTTAAAGCACATGTTGCTGCATCTACTAATTTATCTTTCTCTAGTAACTAATAATTGAGACATTGAATTATTGAACAATTTATTAGAGTTAATGAACTTTAAACAATACTTTGAGACTGATTCCTTTTGACTTTTAGAGACCCCCTGTCACTTTTCAGAGTTTAGCCCCTTGCTATTTTTATGTTTTTTGCCCCCTGTCACTTTTCAGTCTTGTTTTGATAGTTAAATGGGTTTTTTTTTTTTTCAACATCATAACTTTATTTGCTCGTAAATATCTGAGGACCCCTGCAGGCAAAGGGATTGATGTCCAACCTACAGTTAAAGGGGTTGAGGCCCCCTTCAGCCAATGGGGTTTAGGCCCCCTGCAGCCAAAGGGGTTGAAGGTCCAAGTGATGGCTTTTAAATATGTGAGGTGAGGACCCCTGCAGCCGATGGGGTTGATGTCCCCTACAGTCAAAGGGGTTGAGGCCCCCTGCAGCCAAAGGGTTGAAGCCCCCTTCAGCCAAAGGGGTTGAGGCCCCCTACGGCCGAAGGGGTTAAAGCCCCTGGCAGCCAAAGGGGTTGAGGCCCCCTACAGCCAAAGTGGTTAAAGCCCCAGCAGCCAAAGTGGTTAAAGCCCCCAGCAGCCAAAGGGGTTGAGGCCCCCTACAGCCAAAGGGGTTGAAGGTCCAAGTAACAGCTCTGAGGGGATCCCACCATAAATATCCTTTCATGTCAAAAAAGATTTTGCAAAAAAGTTATAAAGGGAAAAGATTAGGGTCTGCAAGTCTAAGGGACAAATGATTTAAATTTTATACACTAGATTAAGTATAAAGGTGTATATGAAAGTATATCAATTGGATAAGCATTAGAGAATACAGTAGCATACGTTTTCAAGTCACAGGACAAATGCAAGACATGTAAGGTTCTACTAAAGGTCAAGGAGAGCGGGAAAGATTTACCAATAATGAGAGAAAAAATGGTTTTGATACCTTTATTTATTCATACTACTATATGTTTATGTAATCATCACTTAGGTCTTAAGTTAGCTGTCATAAAATTGATTAAGCTGTTGAAGCTGTTGAGGAGGATGAAGCAAAGAAATATATGGATTAATCAGGATTATTTTTGTGAATTTATTTCAGTCATAGACTATGAGTGTAAAATTTGTGAATCTTATTTAGTCATCAAGTTTCAGGGTAAAATATGTGAATCTCATTAAATCATTGAGTCCACTGTAACATATGTGAATTACTTAAGTTATGGAGTCCTTGGTAAAATGTGTGCATCTATTTAAGTCATGCAGTTTGAAGTTAAAATATGTGTATCTATTTTAATCATCAAGTTTCAAGGTAAAAGATGTGAATCTAAATAAGTGAAAGCAAGCTAATAAAAATGGTTTAGACCACAAGAATGGAGATAATTTATGGTGGAAAGTAGTGAAATTAATGTGACAGTTGTAGACACATGTAAGGAAGACAGTTGACAAAAGAAATTAGTAATGTTGTGACCTTGCCAGACTCCAGTCTTACATTATTCAAAGGTTAAAAAAAAATTATTAATAATGACTGCAGTGAAACCCGGTCATTTCTCCTGTCAGGAAACTTGAATTTTTTATACTAAAAGAATTGAGTTTTTAAATACAATGTTAGATTAAATTATTTCTAATCTATGCAACTCATGGGTATATTTTGCTTTGTTTTAATTTTGAAAAGCTCAGTAGACACAGATTGGAAAAAAATATGTTTCCTTTGTTTTGTTTGTTCTGTTGTTTTTTTTTTCCTTGTATTTATTTGTTTGTTTCATTGGTCTCTTCCTGTATTTTTTACTTGGCTTTGTTTATGAAGGAAGTTTACAGTTACTGCTGTCTTTGTTATTTATTTTATAATTGCAATTCTCAAGGTTATGTTCCCCTTGCTGCTGTTTTTCTCATGAAAAAAAAAAAAACTGTAAGATTTTCCATACAATAAACTGAGCCATAAGTTATTAATATCAATTATAAAATTCAATAAATAATGGTGAAAATATTTGTAAAAAGTAACTTACTTTTTAATTATTTCAAATATGAAAAAGGTGAAACTTAAAGGAAAAAAATCTAAGACCTGTGAGATCCTTTTCTGTATCCCTTAATGATCACAGTCATTCCCAGGCTGAAACATAAACTAAACTTTATCCATTAATTCATAAGTTACATGAGTGATCTTTTAAAGAAGTAGATTTGAAGTTGCATTAGCTCTTCTTAAGTGTAGGATTGTAATATTATAAACAATTCTATTTCCATTCTGTAGGGCACTGAACTGATGCCAGATTTAATGCCTTTCTGGCAATATTACAAATATTGCCAGCAGCAAGTTGGTGACCTAGAAGGAGCTGAGGAAACAGAAAGAGCTATTGTTGATTTGCAAGCAAAGAAAGATCTCAACAATTCCTAACATCAGGCACAAGAAAGACTGGGGCATGTAGACAATGTTAGTTAAGGAAATATCAGCAAAACAGCAAGGTGGCTGAGGTAACAACAGCAGGAATGGTGGTTAATTATCTGAGCTAACCATTCAATATTTATTTTTGAAAAATTCTTGAAACTCTTAAACTCATCGTCCTCTGCTTAACTGTGTTGGAGTCAAGTATAGCCTAACTTTAGCTAATACATTGAACGGGTTTCTCTAAGAAAATTTAATATCTACTTAATAAAGATAACTGAGCTGTCATTCTTGAAGTTATGTTGAAAATAATTGTGTCTGAGATTAATTGTTGACTGTTAGGAAATGTATTTGTTTAAAAAAAAAAAGTTTATACATGAAAAATGTCTTCCACAAAAGTAATTTTAGCCCTCTTGAAAAGGTATTAAGGTATTAAAAATTGATTTGTTGTTTTGTTATTAATGAGTGACACTTGCACAGCTTTTAAACTAAGAAAATGAAGTTACCAGGTGATGAACAATTGTCATAAAAATTTTAAATCAAAATATGTATTTTTCTCTCCTTTCATCTTCTTTATTTATGTACATCCTAAAGGTAACATTGCTAAAATTGACATGGTCATGTAATAGGCCGACTTATCAAAGGTCATTTCTTGAATTGGGTAGATGCTGCAAGTATGATGAATAACTAATGTTAGTAATTTTTTGTAAATGCTATATCATAGTTTATTTATTATGTTGGTATATAATTTTTAAAAATAAATAAGGTATGGTTTCAATTTTATTAATTTTAAAATAAATTGATATCACATGCATTCTATTACGATTCTATATAAAAATTTAAAGACATCTTTTACAACATTATTATTTAATTAAAAGAATTAATATGATTACTAAAAGAATTACTGTAACCAATTAAAAACATCTGTAGTTCAGGGGGGTTTTTTGGTCTAGAATTTGAGTAGAGAGTAATGTACACTTACATTCATCTAATTTTTTTTTTATCCTCAACAATTGATCTCATTTACTTACACTTGTCGCTCTTTTTTAACCAAATGTTATTTTTTATAAAATGTTACATTCCGCAGTTCTCATTATTTCTTTCTGAACATTTTATGTTTCTTTTTTACACTATTTTCACATCTATTTTTTTATTTGAAGTCTCTGAAGCTGAACATGTCTAATACTGAACTAGGCCCATTATTGTTGTAAATGGGGGTGTTTGATTTTATTTATTTTTTAGTGCTTAAGCTATTTCATGATATTGTTCAAGGTAAATTTCAAATAAAGGCCTATTTATAAATAGATTACACCTTTTGGTCATCTTTACCAACCATCAATAAAAAAAGGCTGCGGCTATTCGGAAGTTAGAGTTTTGGTTTAGTAAAAAATATTAAAAAATTATTTTAGGGTTTTTAAGACAAAATTCGGTATCAAATGAAAGATAATCGAATGCACTATATGTTTGTAAACTTACTTCTTAAGTTTAACTAAAATAAACTACCACAAATGATATCCAAATAGCATTTAGTCAAAATTGAACCGAAATGCATCTCCGCTATTCGGACCCGGGTCTCTTTAGACTCAATGCTATTCGGATGTCATTTGTGGTAGTTTATTTTAGTTAAACTGAAGAATTAAGTTTTTAAACATATAGTCCATTCAATTATCTTTCATTTGATACCAAATTTCATCTTACAACTGAACAATAATATATTTTTTAAAATTTTAATCCCAACCTCTAACTTCTTGGACCCGGGTCTCAATAGCCACTTCGTTTAAAAAAATTTTTCCTATGACTTAAATTTCAAATAGTTGCAATATTTTTAAAGTCCATGTATCAAAATGGTTTTATTTTATTTGTGATGAGCAGCAATTTATATCTTAATTTTTTTAAATTAAAAAATTGTTGCCAATTTTTATTTAATGACCATTCAATTCAAATTATTTGAAAACATTTTTTTAGTTATACAAGTAAAGTACTTAGCCTTAAATTCAAGGTCAAACATAATTTAAAATATTTTAATATTATTTATATTCTGTGAAGAAGAAAAAAATTAAAAGTATGTAAAAAAAATACTAGATATGAGGATGGGTTAAATGTTGTGACCATTCCTCAGATGCTATGGTTGTGAATCAAAGGCTAGAAACCAAATGATGAATTTGTGATGAAAATTGATTTTTTTTTTTTAAACTGTTGTGAAGTCCATTCCAATTTCCATATTTAATGATATTTTTTTATATCCATATAATATGTACTTAAATTAAGAGTCATCATTAACAATTTTTTAGACATGATGAACACAAACATTGTTAAATAGATCTGAGCTGTCTTTTTGATATATTTAATTTCAAATAATTTTTTAATAATTTTAACACCCAAAATTCATTTTAAAGTGTTTCAACTTTTTAAGACACTGGAAAAAATCATATTTTTTTCTTTACCTATCCATAAATTTAATTTATAAAGTCTACTCCATAATCCATGTTATAATTGTTACAAGTTGATTACAATGGTTCAACTAAATTTTAGTGTACCATATGTATGTACCGATACCACAAATGTAACATCTACCACAGATCAGAAAAGAAATGTTAAAGTCTTCCGTCTGTGCAGCTTTTAGTCTAAGCAATAGATCTCTCTAAAATTAAAGTGGTACAATATTTAAAATGGATCTGTGTTGTGCTTTATTTGTTTTGTTAATGAATACATTATTTTGACTCTTTAAAAATTTCACTTTTGAAATTAGTTGATTAGATTTCCTGTACTAGACGAATGTTATAAATAAGCCAAAGCTTGACACGAGTCACAGGGCTTGAGTCTGTGTAATTGGTCTTTGTTAAAAGCCCATTTGACCATTTGCCTGGACTCTTGATTTCTTTCTGTTAATATTTAATCAATTTCCCCATATCCTCCATTCATAAGACATTTAATAGATTTAATATTGACAGATGTCTATGGAATTCATCAAATAGAACCAATCACCCTAAACCATTGATACTAATTTATAATACAATTTGTCATTTAACGTATTTTTTTTAATTGACTTTATCCTTATAGGTTCATGTATAAGGGTAAAAAAATAAAGAATTTGCCGTTGCCTTATTTATAGTAACGGCAAAGATGTTAACCACAAATAATCCACGTTTTTCGTTAGCTGGTTAAACCAGCCAGACGTTTGAATTGACCCAGGACTTGGATTTGTTCAGTCTTCATGCCGGGCCGAGTCCCACTTCCTGCATGGGTTCGTAGAAAGCCTGACTTTCCAGACGCCGGCATTGTGGCAATGCCCAGCCAGCGATGATCTGAATCGAAGCAGGAAATATGATCAGCCAGAGATGACCTTGTGACCTTGACCTGAGGTGACCCATCTTTCAACCAGGAAACATGTATTTAAATAGATCGATAAGATGGTAAGATGTCAGCGTTGAGATTTCTGATCTGTTGATTATTTTATCTTGACGGGGTGGGGGTGATATGAAAAGTAGTGATGTGTGATGGGGTGCGGAGGGCGAAGAGCCCCGGACGGCACTTCTTTCTCCTATGCTCAGGGTTGGCATTTTCGTCCCATTGCAGTGGGGGTTTTTTCGTGGGGGAAGCGACAAAAAAAGTTTGACACGCCCTAGGGGGTCCTAAACCTAGCTACGCCACCGGTGACTGTTGACCCGCCCCAAGAGGTTTTAAACCTAGCTACGCCACTGATGACTGGGGAGAAGTAACTTTTTTGTCTTTCCTTCGGATTTCCCAGAGCTTACAATATCTCACTTGAGAATCAAATGTTGAATAACAATTGATGGACTGCATTCAAGTTGTGTAAAAGAAATATAAGAACAAGGTCTGCTAGACTTGAATTCATTGACAGGAGAAAGACGGGGGCATGCCCTAGGAAGTGATTTCTGGGTGTGATATTGTAATAAACACAAGGAAATCTGTCGGCAACTTTGTTTTAGCGTATGGATGTTTTAAAGTTTGTCCAAAGCCTCGTAAGTGAACTGTCTCGCCGTGGTAATCCGCTCGGTATTTCATTCGGATTGACGCACTAAGTCCGGCCACCCACATGTGCCGGCGTGACGTCCTAGATCTCGCTCGGTATTCTTCCAGCATAATCTCTACCAGGAAATAAAAGTGATTAAATATCGAAGTTCTTTTTATAGGGAATGTGGGGGGGGGGGGGGGGGGGGGGAGGGGTTTTTTGGG